AATTGGGTTGAAGACACCAAAAAGGTGTGTTTTTGGATTGCTTTAATAGACTTCATGCAATTGCTTGGATTCGCTTGAAAATTGTTTCTCGGGGTTATTGGAGTCGTTGATTACAAATCCGAAATTAGTTTTCAAAAATTTAAAATGTCGGAACCAAGATGGCAGATGTAAAAATTAAGAATTGCTTGGATTCGCTTGAAAGTTTGTTACTCCAGGGTTTTTGGGGTCGCTGATTATGAATTTTATTTTATTATTTATGAAAATAATTAAATGTTTTTGTAAAATTATTTGATAGATTTTATAAAAATAGTAATTATTGAAAAATTTTTAATTGTTAAAACATTTTGAATATAATTGATAACTGAATTCTTGACGAGATATTCGTAAATTTTTTTAAAAATAAAATTTTTTAAGAATAATTGAATTTCTTTAATAAAAAATTTTATTACTTTTGAAAAAAAAGAATTCTTGTGACGAATATTGATATTCTTGAAAATAGTTGAATTACTCTGAATGAGTTTATTATATTTTATAAAAATAATCAAATACCTGAAAAAATGTTTAAAATTTAAAATTATGTTGTGGTATTGGTATAAAATTTAATTTGTAGCATAGAAGTGTATAGTTAAAAAAAATTGAATGGCGCGCGTAGCGCGCAGAGTTTGTTCTAGTGTATATAATTATACATATAATATATATTTATATATTTTCAGAAGAAGTTCAGCAGAAGTGAAAATCAAAAAATCAAAAATGGAAATCAGAAACACAATCATATATTCTAATTGTAACAATGTGATTCATAAATAAAGTTTACAGAACATTGTCGAAATTTTCTTTCAAGAAGATGGAATTTTAAATAATGGAAAGGTAAACTCGTTACACCGTAAACCATTTACAGTGTTAGCTTAAAAAATCTTTATTGTTAGTATCTTTTTAACTGTTTTAGTAGCATCAGCATGGTGTCTACAACTTTAATCACCTTTTAACGACAACATCTAATAGTACCGAGGGATATCAAAGAAAATTAATGTTTTAATTTTTCGTACTATTTTCACTTTTAAAATAGAATTTAAATTCGATAATTATCATTTTTACATTCATCCAATTTTTTTATATCGATTAACATTCAGAATTATAAAATTAATATACTCATTACGATTGAAGACAGCGCTATATAGCGCTACGCTATATACAGAAAACATAGAGACAAAGTTATATGAATAGAAATGAGAGTTGATTGATTATTTATTTAGACAAAAATAATAATTGTGAAAAAATAAGACAAAAAGTTTTTTATATAAAAAAATATATATGTATATTTGTATATAATTTATATGTATATATATCTGTATATTTTATACTTTCTCTATGCCATCCTTATTCTGAGACAAAATCGTAGCGATTTGACAGAAAATTCTTGTAAATTTGGTAACTTATAGCGAGACGCAAATTTCTATTTTGTTTTATTCCTTATTACTTATTTGTTTTAAACAATTGCAACATTTAGTGTTTATTAACATCATGGAAAACTAATTTTAATAAAAATTTATAATTTTTAACAAAATATAAATAATTGAGCTATATAGCGCCGTCTCTAATCGTAATCCCCCTACTGGATTATCCACGTCACATATTAATTTAATTTTGATATTTCTTTAAAATTAGTACTTATTAAAGATTCAAAGGGATATTTTTACAGGGAGTTAAATAATTTTTCACTTTTCCTTTCTGAACTATGAACAACTCTACTTTTAAGCGTTCAGTTTTAAGAGTAATTGTGACTTGCTGCGCACTTTACGAGATCTCAGAACGCATATAACGTATCTTTTACATCTTCTAGAAGATCCTTTTCTCATCGATCGAAAAGGATAATTGCACCCTGGTAGCATATTCAACGAAAAGCTTGCTCTTTGGAGAGAGATAATTTCGTTATTTTAAGGAAAAACTAACTCCAAGCAAAAAACATATTTGTCTTTTTCTACGATGGAAAATAATACTAAAGAAGGTTAGAATACAATTATTTTATGAACTACTAAATGACAACAAAATCCTTTAGATATTATTACTACAAAGTTTAATTGTCAAATTCTTAGTATATGTTTAATAATTTCGTATTTTATATTTGAAAAGAAACAAGTAATTAGGTAGAAGACCCAAAACTATTTGACATCCATTGATGCTGATAATTTAAATGAATCGGCATATCGTGATTAATTTCAATTCCCTAGAATGAAGGTCATTGCACTACAGATTTTAGTAGACTTATCGATTTATCGTAAAAAGCATTTGACAAAGTTTAATTGACTATACATAGCGAATGAATTAACCCTTTTAAATGTCATGAATCTCTGTCGTTAATATGTATCTTTATCGAGGAACATTCAACGAAACTAAAATTAAAGTCCCTGTCATTCAAAATATTTTTCAACAAAATAAATGGTCCTCCAATATTCCAATTTAGAGATTAATTTATAGTATCACATTATAAACAAACTGTTAACACTATAAGTTAAGTGAAAATTTCGAATTGCATTTACTATGCAAAACATGTAAATTATATAATGGTAAGGGTTAAGTGATCTTATGCTTCATCATTAGTTCGTGACACTGAATACACTTAGCGTAAGACTTGCAGAACGTGATGGTGTATTACGGTGTAATGACACTAAAATACTGAAATTAATCATTCCAATGAATTTATGCAGATTACTAAAAATGACTGCAGACATAAAAATGTATTCCATACTGTCGTCAATTGGCAGTTTAACGTATGTATTTAATAATTAATTAAATTTTCTGCTTAACGTCAAGAAAAATCTGACACTTTCAACAATAAAAATAAAAAGAAATTTAAAGGAATAAATTTCTCCGTCAGACTCTAATTAATTTTCTAATCAAATTAATAAGCTGTTCTCTAATACAACTAATTAAACAAAAATATTGATACATCTAAGATTCTCTTTCTCTTCAGAGGAAATTCTGCCTGAACAACTTGGCAAGCAGAAATGCCAACGACGAGACATGAATGGGACGTGATGTTAAAAGAAATGTTAACCATACGATAAAGGACGGATTAAACTGTTTGATTTCATTGGTTCTTTTGAAAAAAGAAAAGGGCCCATTTTGTCGGTCATTTGCAAAAGTAATCAGTATTTTAAAAATGGAGGTGTGGAAAAATTTAAAACCTCTTGATTTTTCATCTCTAAGGTGCCCTGGACTGTAAACAATTCTTATCTGAATAACTTACCAAAAGAACCAGAGATTTTGATGTTGGAGTCTTTGTTTTTGTACTCATAGAAATGAAAAATTCGATATTTCGTGAAATTTTTCGTGATAGAGACTGTAAAAAAATTTTAAATAAGTTTAATTTCTATTCTTTTTCTTCAAATGACACAATAAAATTGCACCCAATCATTAACCTTGTAAGAAATGGTTTGTAATTAAAAAAAACCTCTTTTTTATAAAAGGGCCCATTTTGTCGGTCCTTTTAAAATTATTCCGTAATTCCAAAATGGAGGGGGGGGGGAATTAACACCTCATGATTTTTCATGTTTAAGGTGCCCTAGACCGTAAACAATTCTTATCTGAATAACTTCCTAGAAGAACCAGAGATATTGATGTTAGAGTCTTTATTTTTGTAGTCGTAGAAGTGAAAATTTCAATATTTCGTCAAATTATTTATAATAGAGACTGTTAAAAAATTTTAAATAAGTTTAATTTCTATTTTTTTTCTTTAAAATGACACAATAAAATTGCACCCAATCATTAACCTTGTAATAAATGGTTTATAATTTAAAAAAACCTCCTTTTTAGAAAAGGGTCCGTTTTGTCGAATTTTCGTATTTTTCAAAATGGAGGGGGGTTGGTTTTAAAAATTAAGAACCTATTGTTTTTTCATCTTTAAGGTGCCCTGGACTAGAAACAATTCTTATCTGAATAACTTCCCAGAAAAAAGAAAAACCAGAGATATCACCATCAATTAGTATCACAATCTTTAATTCCGTTTTTCTCGAAATGAGGTTTTGGCGTTCTAAACTTTGAAATTCTATAACTCATCGAATTTTTCACCAAAAAAGTTCTATGACTACTCAAAATTTTGCAAGGAATTCGCCCATGTAGATAAGTTTAATAGTGCAAAAATAGACCCTTTTCATGTGGACGTCCACATATAACGGTTACAATGATTGAAGTAGTTAATATTAATTATATAATTTATAGATAGGAGGCTTCCGTTTCCGGTACCCTTGAGTTGTGCACGCGTTTGGATAAAGTTAAAGTTTTTGACATAATTGTAAGTAATTAATAAAGTATATTTAGTGCAGTGTGTTAGAGAGCAAAGGAAAAAGTGTTGTGGTGCAAATTAAAAGAGAGACAAGTAGTGTGAATTTTATGTTGCTAAGATAGGAAAGTGGAATGGCTTATAAGGAATCAAGTGACTCAATGGGATTCCGAAGATATGGTTGGTAGAGATGAGGTTATTGTTATGGATGGTTATTATAGATGTAATGAGGTTTTAAATAAATAAATGGGGTGGACGTTAAGGGAGATAAAGTCAGTATGGACAAAAGTAACTGAAAACGGAAAATGCCTACAGATATTAAAATACGTATTAGATTAATTCCAAAATGCATCCGATAACTATGGGAATAGTCTTTTACACTGTTCTCCCTGAGTTCGTGAACTTTGTTCGCTTCATGCATCTTTAGCTTCACCTTTATCTCTGACTTATTTACTAGAAAAGTTACTCGAAGCAAGGAAAGTGCACAGATATACATGCCTATAGCAGTAGTGGTAGGGTAACTTTTCAGCAGCTTCACCCCTCGTTTCAAGTTCCTAATATCTACTTTAACTTTAAACGTTGATCATAAAAAATTCACATTTACTGTCAAAGATTCGTTTCACCATATAGCTTCACATTCATAAAGTATCAAATTTTCCTCAACAAATATTCTAACATAAACTTGTAACAACTAAATGATAAATTAATATCAAAAACTTACCAATATTTGGATGCTGAAGTTTCCTACATATCCGTGCCTCTCGTTCGAGCTTTTGAAAATCTGTAACAAAAAGAAACAGAAGATAAGAAATTTATTCTTTTTAGAAACTAACATAAAATCGATGCGAGCATCTGAACAAATAAGGATTCTAATATAGAAATATGGATATTAAATGGTTTATTATCGTCAGAAGCTTTTATTCAACATTTTATGTATTTCAAAGGGGTGGAAACTGATTTCAGTGAATGCCAGGGAGCTTTTTCAGTCAACGTCCTAGGGAATCTTTTAAAAATGTATACGACTCAATAAAGAATTTTATAGGGTCTCAATCTTTTCTTCTTGAATGGAATAAACTTATGAAAGAATTGTCCTATCAAAAGGTTCTATGTATTCGCAGTTTTGCATCCAGATGAACAGAATTTGTTCGTGTTTTACTACAATGTACCAAGGTAAATGATACATTACCCGAGTCGAACTTTTAGACCTGCTTACTTCCTGGTAAGTATAATTTAATCCTAACCTGCACCTAACAAACCCTTGGTGTTTTTTTCCTCCTGCGTAAGTTCTATTTAACTCTGGCAACTCCTTTTTAAGTCCTAATTGAACCTTAAACCCTGTATTGCTTCTACTACATTCTTACAATAGCAAATGTTACGCGCGGAACGAGATATACAACTTATTATTGTTATGCAAATTACAAAATTTTTATTTTGAAAATTTCACGAAAGAATTCAATTATTTTCTAAAATTTTAATAAATCCTTCAAAAAAATTCAATTATTTCTATAAATAGTAAAATACTTCGCAAGAATTCAATTAATTTTATAAATAGTAAAATTCTTTGCAGGAATTCAATTATTTTCAAATATTTTCATAAATTGCAATCAATTTCTTAAACTTTAATAAATTCTTCGAAATAATTCAACTATTTTTATAAATACTAAAATTCTTTGCAGGAATTAAATAATCATTAATCCAATTAAAATAAAATTAAACGAAAGAATTTAATTATTTTTAAAAATTTCCATAAAATTTAACTACAACAAGAATTTAAAATTCTCTAAAAACAATTTAATTATTCTCAAAATATTTTTAAAAAATTCTATATAAAAATTAAATTACTAGATATCTCAATGCAATTTTTAAATATATTCGTCAAAAGAATTCAAAGAATATTATTTCCAAAAAGTAATTCAATTATTTTGAATATACTTAATTTTAATAAAATTAGAAGAAATTCAATTATTTTCGAAACAACTTTAATTGAATTTTTCGAAAAAATTTCATGATTTTTAAATATTTCTATAATATTCTTCATAACAATTTAATTATTTCTTAAAATTTTAATAAATTCTTCGAAACCTTTCAATTATTTTGATAAATACTAAAGTTCTTCGCAAGAAATCAATTATTTTCAATACAATTTTAATAAAATTCTTCTTCATAAAATGCAATTGCTTTCGAAATTTTCAATTAAAATTATTAAAGAAACTCCATTAGTTTAAAAAAAATTCAAAGAAATTTTTCAAAAGAATTTAATTAGGATTTTTAAAAATATTAATAAAATTCTTCGCGAGAATTTAGTTATTTTTCTAAATAAAGAAATTCTTTGAAGGAATTCTATTATTATCAAATTTTTTGATAAAATTCTTTGCAACAATTCGAAGATTTTCAATACATTAATTTTAAAATTGAAAATATTTGAAAAGAGAAATTAAAAAAAAATTAAAAACAAAAATGTAAACAACAACTAACTTCAAACTGCGAATAGGTTACCGAAACATGTGCTTTTTTATTATTAATTTATAAATATTATTTTTAACTGAAATGTTTTGACATTTTTTTTTAATAATAAAAATATTAATTTATGAATGTTTAAAGAAGGTTATTATTATTAAACAATTTATTTATTTGCTGTAGTGTATTAGTGTCAATTAATGCTTTATTGAATCACTCAACAAGTCTCTGAAAATAGAGCGTCTGTGTTTAGTAAGGTTCCGTAGCATAGTGGTTAGGGCGTTAGTTTCGTAGTCCGTAGGTCGTAGGTTCAAGTCTCGCGTGTGTTAGATTTTATTTATTTCGTAGGTTTGCGTTTATTCCGATTTTTCTGTATTGTATAGTTATAAGTATGCAATTTAATAATTATATACACCGTTAAATAATTTAATTAACAAATATTTAATTTAAAAAATTTTTTTTTATATATAAATGGATATGTATTAATCCTCACATATATACTAACATTATTTATGAATTCGCTATTGGTCACGATTAAATTAAAAAAAAGTAAAAATCATTAAATAATAATGCCATTTATTAATAATAATTAAAGTTATTATAAAAATTAGTTAAAAATGATCTCAAATATGGTATGAGCGAGAGGAAAGAATTCTGTAAGTACGGGTCAAGCAGTATTTAATAAGGTTCTAGGAACACCTGCTTTACTCCTTTTACCATCTAAATTTGTCGCTAACCAGGGGTTTGCAGGAGGTAATCAGAGTTAACTTGCAATGCAAATAAACTCTGCTTTCATCCTATTACATCCTTACAAACCCTTACAAACCCTTTTATATAAAATTTACCACTCTCGTATTTTTCACTGAATCCTGTTTCAACCTACGCAACTACTTTTCAGCTTTAAACTGCATAAGTGAAAATCCCTTTTCGTCGCCATCGCAATTTTATCGTGCTGCTTTTTTGACCTATTTATTTCTTGTTCTTGCGAGAGTCATTTGGCTTTCTCAAGAGCAAAACTAAAGACTTTGCAGAATTCAGAAATAGGAATATAATTATTATTTGTCTATTCGTCGTATTTTTCCTTTGCCCAAGAATTAGCTTGAACTTTTTTTGTAGCCCGATAGACTGGTGATCTGTGATCCACCAATTGCACTTTACCCATGATTCCAACCGTTTTGGTTACCTTGGCAGTGAATGCCTTCTAATATTCTCCTAAATCCAAAGAGTGGGATTTATGAATCGATTGTAGCTTTACGCCATTTTTGTGGGACCGACACTTGTACGTTGACAGAAGAGCTTATTGGGTGCACCTTGAAAACACCCATAGTAACGCTGCAGAACTATTGTGAGAAGCCTTCTCTCTTGTGCGGGCAGAAGTTTTCCCATAGCAGTGGTGTAAAGTTCCCAGAGAATTCTGCTATAACTTTGTGGGGCATCAGCTCTCTCACAAAGTGAGATCTATTCAGCCAAACATAAAAGACGTAATCATTCTCTCATTTAGTGCTGCAACTTTACCGTCAAATACAGCCATAAGATAAAGCCCAACAACTTTTCTGTGTAAGAACACAAAAATAAAATCTGATCTGTACACTCAGAATCCAATTCAACAATATTTTAAAAGTTATTATTACTTGCCTGGATACACATGGAATCGACTGGAATCGTGAAGGACGAATCCTTACGATTCCTTTACATTTAGACAGATTCACCACGAACTTGCTTGAATTATGTTAATTATCGTGTATTCTTAAATAATCATTTCATTACAAACCTTTAATTCGAGAGTGAGCACCTATTAATAATTATTTTGGTTTTAAATATAAGCATTAAAATTTATAAATAAATGTAATACTTTTATTTTTTTACTCTTTTAATTATTCGGTATTTTAAACTAAAAATATCAACTTTTCTTCTCTGGGAAAGAGAATTATTTTAGTATCCAAAGATAGTGTGACGGAGATATTTCGATACATAGGAGTATTGTCGACGGAAACGGCAATTGGATTCGATCGCAAAATTGGATAGAGATCAGTCTGGATATCTCTATTTCAGGGCTTTTCTCAAATAAAGACGAATGTTATATGTACCTACAGATAGTAGTAGGACATTTGCTCTACTTGCACTTAGTTACATATGAAACAGCTCTAAGTGCTGTTCATCAACGACTATAGTCCACAGTTGTGTACAAGAGTAGTTGCAATGAATGAGGCACATTGTATTTCCTGCCACAGTTAAGGCCTATGTATTCTAAATTATTTAACACATATGTATATGTGTAGATATATATGTATATATGTACACGTTTATTAAAATAAAACTCTCTGTCCTAGAAATTCTGAATGCATGTTCTACCTTATCCTTTTTCCTTAATAACAAGAAAAGTTCCGTCGCTATAAAATACTTTAAATCTTAGTTTTTGACACATCTTGATAATACACATAACAGAAAATAATTTTAACTACAGAACATTATTGCAAAATATTTCCCTTTAGAAAAGGGGGTGAAAAATAGTAGTGAATGTGTAAGTTCGCTGTAGGAAAAATTTTTTCTAACTAAAATCAAGTTAAACGTTTCCTGTAAAAAAATAAAAGTTTCATGAAGTCGATATGGGCATTTCTCTAGAGAAACGTTAAACTGTTTTCAAGTGGGTAACGTTATACGCAAATGATCTTGCATTATTTTCATGCTTACTATAGGAGTTTCCGTCTTTGAGACATTTTCTACTAAAGTTTGAGTCAACAACCGTTAAGCGAAGCAAATCAAAAAACTTAAAAAATCTATTTTAAAATACCTTGCACTTTTTCAAAGTAAGATTACAAGATTATTTTCACCAATTCCATTCGAATCTAAAGGTAATTTCATAGAATTTTGCTCTTTATGTTTTTAATTTAAAATAAATTAATTCTATTTATCACTGTTTGTAAGTTCTTTACAAAATATCTATTAAGATCTTTTCTAAATATACCGTTGCACAAAAGTTGAGATTTGAATATGAAAAATCACACAAAGGTTCATTTTTCATATTGCTTTCTTCTTCTTTCTAAAATAAACAACGTAATAATGTCTTCCTTTACCTGATTTGCATATCTACTTCATTCGCAATCCATAATACTTTTTTCAGGTTTCAGCGAATTCTTCTCGATTAATTGACTGTCCTTTATATTCTACTTTACTTCTATTTAATCTTATTTTATTAGCGTCATTGCCATTTGTTTCTGGTATTTTAGTTAGCGTTTTCTCGTTAAAATCTCAAACTACTTTATATATTGCTCGTTCTTTGGCTAATATTTTTCTCCCATAAACAGATAGTTTTCAGATGTAATT